GCTGAGGGTTTAGGGTTTAGGGGTTTAGGGCCTAGGGCATTTCAGGGGCCCTCTATTTGTTGTCACGTAGGGGTTACGCAGGATCTACAAGGCATACATGGGGTCCTTTGGTATGTGTGGGCTTTGAGGAGAGGATTTCTTGTGGGAATCTACCCGTACATGTACATGAGATGTACAATACATCAGGACGTACAAAGCACATGGATGTACAGAGTCTCCACAAGGACTCATCCAGGAAGCCTCTTAGTGTCACGTACATATTGGTACCTTGCCGCTTGCCCCCTAATAATGCAGATTCACCCCCAGTACATGCTGGTATTACATGGACAATTTTCATTATTCGGAGCGTGGTGGTGGGCGGGTTTCTTGTTGGAGAGGGGGAACCTCATGGCCATGGTGTTTGTTTTTCTTGCGAAATTTGTTGGGGGCTTCCATATTATGATGTGGATCATGAGTTTGACAGCAAGGATAGCTGGAGAAGTGAATGTAGGCAGCCTTGATACACGCTTCTTCCTATTGCTACTGAGCACCCAAACCCCGCACCCCTGTAAACCCTAAATCCTAAACCCTATCAAAGATGGAGGTGGAGTGGTCCTTTTCAGAGGGTGCCAGCAGCAGCTCGAGTGTCAGTCCCAACTCCTGGCGTGCCCTGGCCCGGCATTTTCCAAGAGCCTTTAAACTTGCTGGTTCTTAGTAGGGAATATTAGAGTTTCCTGATTGGTTTAGGCTACGTTCCGGGAATTCACGCTAGCAGAAACGAAGATGAAAAGCCGTAGACTATAGGCCCGAGTGAGAGGACTTTTGGTCTAAAGGTTTTGGAAGGTAGTATGTAGTATAATATATTCCCGACCAAGATATTGACTTCATGCATTCAGGACACAGATGTTGACTGGAGCTCATCTGAGGTGGTAATGTTGTGGTTTCCCTAAACCCTAAACCCCCCCTACTGAGTGTAGATCTAGCTGCGGACGAGCGTGCATGTTAGGTGTGCTCACTGCGGGTGCTTTCTGGTGACCCTGGTGTTAGGTTGAGATTTGTAGTTTATTTATATGGTCCCCCTTAAGTAGATAGAATATGGCTTTGGGTATATTATAATCAGATCCCCGTATACCCCATATTTTATCTATTTTAGGGGATTGTATCTGTATGTACATATATGAGGTCCTTCTACTTGCATTTCCTTTTTTTGAGTCCTTGTGACCCCAGAAAGAAGGCTAAGGGCCCATACTAGGGGACGTAGTTTGGACCTTTTACGGGCACAGTCTGGACACAAAGGCTTGCTTTGGTTTAAGTTTGGGAAAGTGTGTTTGCAGGAGGCAAGTCCACTTTGGGGTGGGGGGCACTTGCAATGGAGTCTGACAAACTCGCAAAACCCTCAACGAGAACTTACATGGACCACATTAAGAGTTATTCTTGACATTGGTTTTGGGCATTTCATCCTTCTTTGGGCACTTTGGGCCTGTAGCAGTAATCCCACTGCAAGGCAAAGGGTCGTGTGGGGTTCAAGGTCATGATGGAAGCCCACAGGCCCAGCGAAGTTTCACTATGTCCTACAGAGTGCTACAGGAAAATGCGTAGGGCACAGGGCATAGAACTGAATATAGATTCTTGTAGATGGCTCCCTTCGGTCAACACCCCAAAAAAAAGGTACCGGCCATCTCGACGTGCGAGTGCTGCTGCGTGACCAGGGGACCTGCCAGGCTCAGACATTGCATCCCTTAGGCTTGTCATGTGCACGCCTGTGCCATTGGGAAGCCCCCAGCTGACGCAATCCGGACCCCAGCAGAAAAGGGTTAAGGGTTTAGGGCCCCAAGCCCTAAACCCTAATCCCTAAACCCTATAGATATACATATATATATATGTATATGTATGTACATATATATATATATAGGCCCTAAACCCTAAACCCTGAACCCTAAACCCCTATAAGCCCTAAACCCTAATCACCGCATGGTTTGTCGGATGCCTTCTGGAATGGAGTCACCTTGCCAGGTTCAGCAGATGCCAGGTGCACAGTGCCTTGGCAAAATGCTTAGGGTCTAGGGTTTAGGGTTGGGGGTTTAGGGTTTAGGGTTTAGGGTTTAGGAGCAGGATTGTGAGCCATAAAGATTGTAAGTGACCTATGAGCTTGTCTTTTGCATCCAAAGCAGTGTGGAAGAGAAGACTAGGCTGCAGAACAGTTGGGGCTTTTCTCTACATAACTTCACATTTACCCGAACCCCTACATACCCAAATATTAACCCCTATATGACCCGACATTTTGCCTTAATTGTGTTCAAGATCAAGCTGCTGCCCCAAACCCTAAACCCTAAGCCCTAAACCCTAAACCCTGAACCCTAAGCCCTAAACCCTAAACCTCAAGGGTAGTGTGTAGAAGGCATGACTTTCCTGTCTGCATTGGACAATTTGGTCCTTGCTTGCTGTCACTGTTGCCTCTGCGCAACTGTGCCTTTCGACCTAAGTGCAGGCGGAAAAAGAGGCCGCCAAAAAAAAACAAACACCTAAACCCTAAACCCTAAACCCTAAGCCCTAAACCCTACAATCTGAACCCTGAACCTTACGCTTGCCTGCCAGGAGCCGCGGCTGCCCTCAGCTCCTATGTCTCGGCCCTCGGGCGATTTGGCTACAAAAAGCGTGGGATTATAGGGTTTAGGGGGTTTAGGGTTTAGGGTTTAGGGGGTTTAGGGTTTAAGGTTTAGGGTTTAGGGTTTATAGGGTATATTGGGGTTATATTATTATGGGATAATGGAAAAGAAAATGGAAACTACTGCAGTATATTGGGGTTATAGGAGTTATAGGGGTTACAAGGGTTTAGGGGGTTTAGGGCTTAGGGTTCAGGGTGTAGGGTTTAGGGTGATAGCCTAAACTCCTTCAAGGGGGTTATATAGGGGTTAGGGGTTTAGGGATTAAGGTTTGAGGTTTAGGGTCCAAACTCCTTAAAGGGGGTTATACAGGGTTTAGGTTTTAGGGGCTGACCTTCTTAAAAGGCAGTTATATAGAATAAATTGCAGAGGGGAATTATGCAAGGGAGTAGCTGCTACGCAGGATACTAGGAGTTTAGATTATAGCTTATGTAGAGCGCAGCCCCAGAAAGAGCAAGCCCCGGACACCTGTACTTGAGCCTGACTCAGGTGCATCTTTGCCTGGAACACCGGGAACAGCCGCTCAAGGCAGGTGAGTAGTATTTTATTTGGGGATACTATGGTACCCAATATAGAGTAAGATTATATCCTCCTTTTTGGGGTATAGTGTTTTACATAAGGAATATAATCTTACTAGGTTTAACCACCAAAAAAACACTACTCAGGTGATTGTTTTCTGTTTTCGCTGCCACCTGCGGGTCTAAGTACCCAGAACAACTCTGGCACCTAAAGTCGAAATATTTTGGGTACAAGGCCTCAATTTGTAGGGATGCTTATACAGGGTTATATGGGATAGTGAAAAAGAAAATGGAAACTACAGGGATTACAGGGATTCTATAAGGGTTATGTAGGGATTATAGGGTATATATTGGTATGTAGGGTTAAATGGGTTATTTAGTTGGACCCTTAGAAGCTGTGAGTCGCTCCGACGAGGCCTTTCAGCAGCATAGGGAGTCGGAGACAGAAGTATGCTGGCCGGCCAGAACCTCATTGCGTGGCTCAGGTTTGTAGTCCCCTTAAGTAGATAGAATATGGGGTTTTAAGGGGATCTTAACCCTAAACTCTAAACCCCTAAGCCCCAAAACCTTAAAACCCTAAAACCCTAAAACCCTAAAACCCTAAAACCCTAAAACCCTAAACCTTAAACTGGGCAATTCCGTATTCGGTCTACTCCAGGGGGACTGCGAGTTTAACGTTTCCAGGTTGAGGGAGCCCTCCCCAATTATGACTCCTACCCCCAAAGCATTAATGATCACAATATGAGGTATTGTCTAAACTCCTTAAGGTGGTTATATAGGGGAGTAAGGGGGCTACTATTAGGGTTATTCAGGGGTATACTAGGAGTTTAGACTATAGCTCATATAGTCTCATCACATTCTCAGAGGGCGGGGCTGGGGTTCAATGAGGAGGGCCTACGAGAGGGGGGATTCTTCTGAACTGTGTGGCATGCCTCTCAGGTCAGGCAATCGAACCCTATATACCCCTATATACCCCCGACTTACCTTTATATATTCTATGATTATCCCTATACACCCTTATATACCCCTACTTACACCTAAAAACCTTATATACTAATCCCTACATAGTCAGGTTTTCTTTGAACAGGCAGAGACCAAGCGGTGGCCATGCTGCGCCACGTATGCCGCGGCCTGGCGCCAGCTGAACTTCATGGAGGCCAGTATCGCACATGGCAACTCTTGACAGGGTCATAATCATAAGATTAAAGAACAGGACTGATAGACAAGAGGAACATTTTCTCAGGAATAGTAGGAACAAGAGCAGTTATAGTATCTCTAACAAGAATGAAAAATTTGAAAAGAGTGGCATTACAAATGTGGACGTAGACCTGGGGCCGCTGTGAGCTGCGTTGCAGGAACGCAGGGGTCCCCTTTTCTGGGAGGGCTCAGACTCCTGGTATCGTGCTGGCGGCTAGTACGGAAAAAGGAGTACATTTTTCTAGGGACTATTTAGGAACTATATAGGAAGTATATTCCCTTTTTCCCTACTAAGCCCCAGAAAGCTATTTTGCAGAGAGTTTGAAGTCGGTTCGCTTGCTTGCTGGTGTGCCTAGCCTGCTCGAGCGAGATGAACATGCATCCGAAGGGCAAGAAAAAACTGGCAGAATGCAATCTAACAAAGTATAGTGTAGTACAATATACTATGTATGACATGGTTTCAAGTATTGTTAACAACAATGGATGCAGCCTATCATTGTTCTAGATGTTTTCTATCAGCCTGCACGCATACATCCACATAATCTTCTCAGGTTACCTTCCATTCCCCAATCCCAGAAACCGTCCGCAAAGAGCTACAGATATCCCTTGTGCACCATCAGCTGGTGGTCCCTTTTGACCAGCAATGTCTTTGGAGGTGCAATCGCTTGCGCTAAATGCGCTTACAAAGCGCATACAAGATGAAGCGCAGGTCCTGCCTGATGGCATCTTACGGGTGGCCGACTTTTTGAACTACAGAGTAGATCCCATCCTTATGGACAGCTGCGGGGCGCTCCTAGCAAACAGGCTGTCCGACGCGAAGCCTACAAAGATTCTGGCGGGTTGCAGTAGCCAAGGTCTTCTGCCGGCTGTTGCTACATCGAGGCACTTGCAGTCGCCCGTGGTTTTTGCTTACGCCTCCGTCCCCAATACCTGGGACAGCAAGGCCACCCTTTCGGCAACCATCCAGGGCCGTGCCCATTGGGTGCTCACAAGCGCTATCAGCGCGGAGGACCGTGTGGTTGTCATAGATGACATTGTCAGCACTGGCACGACCATCCAAGCTTTGAAGACCATTTGCGAAAAGGCAGGTGCAAAGGTTGTTGGAATCGGTGCCATCATCCGAAACCACTTGCTGGCCAATGGTGGTGCCGATGGCGATTCCAGCCCCATTGATGGCAAGTTTGAAACCTTGGTGCAGGTCTCAAAGTCCGGCACAGCCAGTGTGCCAGTGGGCATCACTCCAGCCGTGCAAAAGCAGACGTTGCCGGAAGTCGTGGCAGCGGATGTGCTGACGGAGCGCGTGTTGCGGGAGGGTAAGGTGCTGCCTGGCAACCTTCTGAAGGTCTACTCCTTTATCAATCACCAAGTTGACACACGACTTATGGACATGTGTGGCCAGTTGATAGGCCGGGTATTTGCAGGCTTTGGAATCCAGAAAGTGCTAACTGCCCAAACTGGAGGTCTTCCTCCTGCACATGCAGTGGCAACTGCGCTGCGTGTGCCGCTGGTCTGCGCCAGGGAAACCCACGAGAACGACCAGGTGGTTTTTGAAACCATGTACAGCGCTCCTTCGGAAAGCTTCACAAAGAAGAAGAAGCTGGTGCTTTACGTCACGAAGGAATCCTTGCTTCCTGGTGAGGTTGTTCTGGTGGTTGATGACTTTTTGGCTACAGGAACCACTGGCGTGGCACTTCACCGCCTAGTGGAGCAGGCTAAGGCTGAAGTGGCTGGAATGGCTTTTCTCGTTGAGAAACGATTCCAGGATGGGCGTGGTAAGATTTTGCGAGAGCTACCCCACATGAATGGGCGAATTGTGTCGTTGGCCTGCATTGAGTCGATGTCGACAGAGGGAATCTCTTTGGACTGCAAGGTAGTGGGCGATTGCAAGCCCATCCAAGCAACAGATGAGAAAGTTATGATCGACAGGGTTTTGGCGTCTGCCCATCCATCCCAGACCCATCATGGGGGAATGATCAATGCCTCCACCTTCTTGAACCACGTAGCATCTTGGCGAAAGGCAGTTCAACAGGCGATGCTAGCAACCTCTGCGCTGTCTTGCTTCCTTTTTGTGAAGGGGTCTTGAGCACATTAAACTCATCCCAGACCGCGTTCGTATCATTCACAGCAGTGCTTAGGTGGACACGAAGCTCATGGATCAGGCAGCGGCATTGCTGGCCAAGCGCCTCTGGGATTCCAATGGCCCCTAATTTGGTTCATTATTTTGCCGTGTACATGCCTTCTGGATCCGAATTTTGGCACATGCACCCTAAAGCCTAAAACCCTAAATCCTAAACCGATTTGTTGCAGGCTTCGTAGATGCGCGCGCAACCGCCGTGTTGACCGCTGAGATGTCTGGAGTGGCGCCGGCTCTGGCTTTAGCCATGCAGCTCCGAGTGCCCTTGGTTTGTGACCCTTGACTACCTGGGTCTTACTGGTGGCTAGTAGGGAAAATGGGAATATACCATAGGGTTTACGGTTGAGGGTAAGTAGGAATGAGGGTTATGTGGGGACCATATTATAAAGGGATCACATTCGCTTATTACCTACTAACCACCTGTGAGTTTTGCTGTTTAGGACCTGAAATTAAGCTACTATGGTAAGGAAGCCCCATTTTCCTTTATACCCAGATTATGGTTGGAAAGAACGGATGGTTTTTTTGGGCGTTGTTTGTAGAAGCAGGATGGATTCCCTCAGGCCCCAACAAGGATCAGGTCGTCGTGTTATCAGATATGGAGGTCCACAGTAGGATGCCCCTGCATCTAAACCGTCCTAAACCTAAACCCGAAACCCTGAACCCGCCTTAAACCCTGAACCCTAAACCCTAAACCCTAACCCTAAGCCCTAAACCTTCTAAACCCTAAACCCTCAGCCCTAAACCCCCTAAACCATAAACCCTAAGCCCTAAACCTCCTAAACCCCTAGCCCTAAACCCTCCACGCAGCGTAAAATGATAAGAAGCTGAGGCACGCCGTGAGCTGAGCAAGGTCATGGCAGCTGCTGGGTTGTTTCTAAGGAGCTATGAATCCAGACCCCCAAACGGATCTAAGAATTAGATCCCCTAGAACCATACGGGAACTTATATAAGGATTATATAGGGGTTATAGTGGGTCTCTATGGGGGATCTAATTTTTAGATCCTCCCAGGGTCTGGGAAAGCCAGTTGCTAGAATATGGTAAATCTGTTCCCCATGATGGCAACTTAAGTTAGGTTGGGTACAGAAAGCACATATATAATGCCTACGTAACCCCAGTTCCCATGTCATTGTCCGTTGTTTCTCCATTGTGTCAACCCCAAACCCTTCAAACCATTTTTTTTCTTCAAGTTCCCCAGCAGCAGCCTAGGTTGCTGGTGGCACCATCTCAGCGAAAGTTGAGGGCAGTACTGACTCAGCACGCGGGGCTCTGCACATCTTTCGCGAAGCCAGGCTTGAGGTCTAGTAATGATGCCGTTATATAGCCCTATATTACCCTATATAGGCCCACATAAGCCCGTATAACTCTAAATAACCTTTCACCCCTGTAGTCTGCATAAAGTTGTTTGTTGCGTTTTCAATGAACCATTGCTTGGGTTTCTTGGCTGCAGAAGCTGAGGACCATCTGCGGAAGGATGATGCAGTGCCAAGCCCCAGACATGAGTTTGAGAGGGATAGGATGTTGCAAGCAGCTTAGTTGTGCAGAGGAGTTAGAGATACATAGTTACATAGCAGCAAAGGTGCTAAGGTGTGTGGGTGTGAGGAACCAGAGGCTTCGGAAGGTCTAGATCCAATCTTGTATTGGGTTTGCACAGAGTGACTTTAGGCCTAAACTCCAAGCCTAAACGCGACGCTAAACCCTTATCCCTAAGCTCGAAACCCAAAATCCAAATCTCAGTTTTTAAACCATATACATACCCTAAGTCCCGTAGGTGTTGCTGGTGGACGACATCTTGGGCAATGGTGCCACTACCCTGGCGCTGCAGAGCCTTTGTGATCAGGACATGGGGTTGAAAGCTGGGGCTTAGGCTCTAGGAGTTCGGGCCCAGGATTTCGATTCCGAGATTTTGCTTTAGGTATTAAGGTTCAGTTTTTAGGGTTTAGGATCTAAGAATGCGCTTGTGTACTTCCGACAATGCGGTTATTCTTCTATGCCCCGCAAAATATCGGGGCCCTTGTCTCTGAAGGGATCCCGCATTTCTGGCAAACGCCGGCCTTGTTTTCTGTGGTTTCATTTGCCAGGCCCTGAGAGATGAACCCCTAACCCCTACAGCCCTCAAACCCCAACCCCCTAAACGCCTAAAGCTCCAAACCAAACCGAAACCCCTGAACCCCTGAACCCTAAACCTCCTGAACCGTAAGCCCCAGAGTCTGACTGTAAACGGAGGGTAAAAGTGGCGTTTTGAAAAGCCGCAAACCCTAGACCCCAAACCCCAAACCGTAAACCACTGACCCCTAAACCCTGAATTTTGAAAAAACTCTGGAAACACAGCTGGAAACAGGCAGGTGCCACAGTCGTCGGTGCTGGCTTCCTTGTTGAGAAGGCAAGGCAACTGTCCAGACTTTTTTAATTGCTCCTGTCATGGTCATTATCATTTTGAATGGGCTTATTGTAGGGTTTAGGGTTTAGGGTTGTTGTTGGCGAGGGCTGTTAGTGGCCTTTATGCACTTCGTGATTCATGGGAGTTGCCATGTAGCTCGCTGCTTGACGTTTTGTATGGTGTTGCGTCCACTGTTGATAGACAGCCCCCCCACCACCTCCCCTCCCCTGCGTAGACTATGGAGGACTCTCCAAAGTATGGACAATCACAAGGATAGTGGGTGTCTGGGTCACGATTGTCGCGTTTGTCGAGGTTTTGAAGCCTCAGAGGCGCCGTTCTCGGGTTGTCGTCGCTTCACATCCCGGAAGTGCCAGGGGTCGCATTTGTTACAATCCTCACTGTGGTCACTGTTTTGCAGATCTCAAAAGGTACCCAGAATCACAAGGATGCTGGGTGTCCTGGTCACGATCCGCAAAGTGTCATTGCTTATTGATGTTGCAGATCTCAAGAATGGCAACAGTCACAGGGTTGGTGCATGTCCCCCCATGCACCGCCACCCAACCCACAAAGGCACAGAAAACCACCAACACCAAAGGTTGTGAAGGTCTGACCCTGAAACGAAATCTCACTGCTGAATTGCTACAGGTTTAAGATTGTAGGCAATTCCATACCAGTGCCGCATCCACCAAGAGCACAGCCCGTAAAAAGCAGTGCTGGCTGTTTAGGGAGAAAGAACATTCACCACACCGCAAGGGGCAGGGGGAAAGGCCCGGACTGATTGACAGTCATGGGAGAAAGAACGCACACCACACGGGGGGGAAGGAGGAAGATTTGCCTGACCTCTTCAAAACGCAGGTCTTGATGCTTCAAAGTGACATTCGATTTTGCTGATAACTGTGTGACCTTTGGGGGGGGCGAGGGTGGGGGCTAGCCAGCACTGCACCATACGTCCCCTGACTATGCAAGAGTAACCCAATTTTGCGAAAGCCAAAGCTCTACACTCTAAATCCTAAACCTTAAAGCATACAAGCAAAGCCCTAAAGCCCCAAACACTACACCCTAAATCCTAAACCCTAGACCCTACAACATCAATCCACAATTCTAAACACTACACCCTACACCCCAAACCATAAATACCTACACCCTAAACTCCAGAATCTATACCATGATTGAGTTGGAGCTCGTTTGAAGGTCTTTCAGCATGGCCGTGGCAAGATTCTGTCCACAAGGCCGCATCTGGCTGCGCCTCACCAACATGGGGTTTAGGGTTTAGGGCTTAGGATTTAGATGAATTTCGGGTTTAGGGTTGGGAATAAGATGAATTTAGGGTTTAGGGTTTCCCAACATGAGGGGTGCCTTTAAAAGGGGTTTATAGGGGATATATGGGGACTATATAGGTTTTCGGGCTTAGGGTTTCCGCGAGTTAGGGTCCCATTTTCAGGTCCTTATAACAAGGCGGTTTGTAACGTTGGGGTCCCTTCATTTATGAAAACTACCAGATTTTGCATGGGGTCTGCTAAAGTGTGGTACTCCTCGGACAAGGCATGGCAAGCATCCGTTCGAGAGTTTTTATGAGGGCTGTGTTGAGGAACTTCTGCATGATGGGCCGGAGAGCTTATATGAGCCAGTCACACTCAGCACTCAGGACAGCATCGTCGCTCTCACGAAAATCCTCTCCATAGATGATCAAGGATGCGTGGTTGTGAAGATTACAAGTCCATCTCAAGAAACCTCGGATTCATGTTGCCCTGTGCAGGGCTGAAGGTCTTCCGCTGCCCCGAGCCTGCCCGCGACACCTGGGTGCGGGTGGCAACCGACTTGGTCCATCGAATGAGCAAGGAGGTCGAAATCGATGTGGCGGCGAATGCCATGAAGTTCAGATCGGCAGGAAGCCTAGCCGTTTGCAGATGTCCAGGGCCAATTCTGTCAGAGTGGCCTGGTTTACTGGGTTGCTGTTAAGGA